TCTGGCTGAAGGCACAGGGACAGAACAAAGGGGGTATAAGTGGTTAACACAGATGTAGCAAAAACCAGAAAGCAGAGAGTGTCAGAGTCCATTATGAAGCCAGTATAGCTGAGGGTGAGGAAAGGGTTCTACAAACTAGCACAGACAGCCCCAGGGCCCTGGCAGGAGAATAAAGGGTGATATTTCCCAACTTCTTGCTTCCATAACATCTCTTCCGTGTCCCACAGCCTCACAAGCCAGGCTGCAAGTGTTCTTCCATTCCTTGTTTAAAGGCTTTCCAAATTTAAGGAGTCCATCTGCAGTATATTGCCTGATTGTCATTAGTTTCTATAACTGATCACTATTAAGATGCCCATGTGTATGTGGAATCATAGATTTTCCCTTCCAGTCTAGAGATTTGACCTGAGTGATGTCTTCTATCACCTCTACTTACACTTTCCTTTCTCATTGTCTGATCGTTTCCATGAGTTCTGAGTGTTTGGATTCCAGGAAGGACTCTTTGACACAGATCTAATATTTACTCTTTCTCTTACATCCTACCAGCTGTAAGAAATAGTAAGCCAACATTTCCGTCATTCTTTTTATTTTTGTCTCCCACTTTTCCTATGAAATGGAAGTGAATGTAGAAGATTGTTGTGGAAAATCTTGTGACTGGTTTTGCCTTTTGCCTTACATACTGTCATGCTGGAATGCAGTGCTTCTTGTTTTTTTATCAGAGAGAAAACTATATATGTCACTGGTTTCCAGGAATCTGAAACTTAGAGAAACTGAAACTTATCATGCTAATAGGCCATCTGGCCCTCTAGATTCTAATAGGATACTAGTCTGCCATGCTAATAAGGGATCCCATATGCTGTGTTATCATTGGACTATTACCCCTATATAAGCCTGTACTTTCTTGTAATAAAGCAGATCTGTGTCACTGAACCTGGTCTCCTAAGTCTGAATGCGGTGATGCTAGTGCAGACTCCTCACCAGCCCTGGGGTCTGGACCTGACAACTGATTGGAGGAACTAAGAGAGCAGGAGAGCGGCCGTAGCCGGAGGAGAGCAGCCACAGCAGGTGACCACAGAAGATAGTGTCTACATGTCTTGTTCTCATTATATTTCCTCCCTTACATGGGCAAGTCTTTTGGAAGCAGATAGCTGAGCTTCAGTTGTATGTTTTAAAACTCACAACAAAGACCACACCTGCTCACACAGTCTGTTTCCAATACTTTCCCACACATGCTAGTTTCAGAGAATACAATATATTCTTCAGGCTATCAGCTATACTTGAGTAGCAATTTCATTCATTAAGAAATCAGGCCACCCCATACTACATAGAAGGCAGTCACCCTTGTATTTCTCCTTAGGATGTTGCATTCTTGAATAGCTTGCCTTGTTTGCTGTCATCAGAGTTCTCTCTCAGTCTCTTAAGCTATCAGGCAAACCATATAACATATCTTTATGTGCCTTTATTATTATTGTGGGGGGAGAAGGGAGTGACTTACAAAGGAATGAGTACCCAGTACCTAGCCCCACCACTTGGCACTGCCTCTGGTGGCGTGGCTCAGAGTCCACCATATCAGACCTCTGGTGGTGTGGCTCAGAGTGTGCCATATCAGACTGCTCCCATGCCATGCCCATAGTCACCACTAGCATTTGCTCATGCCTCAGGGTCCAGCGATCTCACCTCATGTCCATAAGTGTCAGGCCATTCTGTCCTTGAGTATGCTTGGCTGCTGTGCATTCCCCATGTGCATAGCTCTCGTGTTACTTGTGGCTTGCCACTCCTGTCCCAAGATGGCACCCAACATCCCCTCAGTAGTCCATCCCCTGCTGCAGGCCCTGCTCCTCAGAGGAACCAGCCACCTGGGGGACACTCCACCCCTTTCCTCTTACAATCTTCCCATCAATCTTCCACTAAAGTCCCTGAGCCTTGGAGGGGGTGACAGATGTGGGGTGATCTCTCTTCTATCATGGCAAGATAGTGACTTCTTGGGCCTTCCCATTAGTTGTCTTTAGGCCATGGCCACTGATCTATCTCAGTGGTGTTTCTTCTACTATAAAGACAAATGGAAGGAAGTAGACACATTTAAACAAACATGAATGTAAATACAAATGCCTAGAAGATATCCCAGTAGGTGTACTATATTCATTAAACAGTATACTCGTGATGGCTTCTCCACTAGGGCCAGTAGCCATTCTTGACACAAGGCATTGGCCTGGTCTACAGCACCAGATGTGTGTTCCATCCCTAGGAGCAGGCCTTATCCAATTGGAAATTTGTCCGTTGTATGTATGTTGGTTGAGCTATTATTGCACTTGCAGGCATCGCTTGGCACATCTATAGGGTGCAGCATGCTGTGTCCATTGTTGAGTAGAATCATAGGGTATCCTTTCTTCCCCAACCATCTGCATAGCGCCTTCTGGCAATATGAACATCATCCATCCAATGGCATGGAGTTGTTTTTTTTTTTGGCTTAGTCTCAGCTCCACCTCTTCTTTTTCTCCTGCACTCACAACATGCAGTGTTTTCAGCAACATGGCCTTACCGACCACTCTAGTGTACAACCAACATTAGTGGCAATAGCCTTAGTGAATTTGGGGACGTGTAGGATCTCTCTCTGACCAACAGCTCATGGGGGGCAACCCACCCCTGGTACTGTAGATTTTCTTAACAGTTGTATAGTTTGGGAATCTCTGTCTTCATCTTACCCAACCTGCATAAAACTTCCAAGAATCTTATAGCTATACCTGGCCTTTGCTTCTTCATGTATCTTTCAAATAGGTTTCACATCTGTAAAACACTCAAAGGAAGGTTAACATTATATATTAAATCAATCATAGACAAGGTCTCACACAGCATGGAAAGGTTTTGTCCATTCGTATTAACTATTTTCTCCATAGATCCTTGTTAGGTACCATAGCATGGGTATGAGGCATTAATTTGGTTAGCTCTTTACCATTTTTAGTAATCCCTTTGTTTTTATTCTTTTATTCTTGATACACTTACAAGTGTTGGCTCCAGTTTCCTGACCCTGCACTGGGCTAAGGAGGCTGGGGGCTTCTCCTGTCCCCACTGCACTATTTGTTCCCTGAGTCAGGCAGGCCCTGGGTCTGCCTCCTGACTGTAGCCATATCTGTCATCGTCCCATTGACCACAGCAGGTTGCTGGGGGAGAACTTGGTGGGAAAACTTGCGTTCACCCCTAGTATAGCCTTTATCAGAAGAAAAATGCATTTTATTTAATCTTTGGGGATCCTTAACCACCCATTGTACAGTTTTTACCCTTCAAATTTTTTTGTACACTGTTCTTCTGGTTTTAAAGCCTTCCAGAAATGCCTTAGTACCGAATTTGGTTTTCTATCAATTTTTTTTTTCCTCTGGGAATTTGGGCTTTACATAAGTCTTGCCACATTTGTCTTTGAGTAACCCAAGAGGACCATTTCTTTGGTCTGGTCTTTTTTATATCTCTTATAGGGTGTTCTGTTATTTTACAGACATGTTTTATAAGCTGGTCAGAGTCATTTAGATTTGCAAAAGCCTCTCTCACTTTACAAAGATCCTGTACCAGCAAAGGGCTTAGTAAAACCATTAAAGCCCCATACCATTCTCGAGGTCCCAGTTGAATTAAGCTTTCTTTCATATATCTGGTGAACTCAGTTTTATCTGGCCTAGTGAACTGGGCATCATTCTCATACCTAGTTCTCTCAGTAATGACTGCCCCTCCTTTATAGTCCTCCAGCCCCTGCTAATCATGTTAGTCTCCCTTGGTGAAAACAATGTACCTTTAATGCCTTCAACCAGCCATCCCCTTAAGCACTGCTCCCCCCTGCATTGGCCTAGGTAGAACAGCTTATATCTCAAGGATGGATGGGTAGTTATATAACTCAGTTATGAAGCTTCTGAATGACTTAGGCTGATGTCATTTTCTCCCATGTCCCATACTCTCACAAGTCACATGGCTAGGGACTCTATGCTTGCTTGCTTATAAGTTTTTCCTAGTTTTAACAGTTCTAGCATGGAATATTTCCTAGCTACAGCAGTTAGCTTTTTTCCCCTTTTGTATCAATGGTTGACTCTGAGGGGGCAGCTTTAGCTACTTTTATTTTTATGTCATTTTCCTTTTTACTATTATCTGTCTTTTCCTCTGAGTCCTTGGACCTTACACAAATCAAAGTGTCCTGCCTTTTCTCTCTCTCCAGCTTTGCAACTGGGTCTGCCAGGACTTTCCTAGCCTTTTCAGCTTCCCCTGCCTGGGTCACATTTTTTATTATGCAAAGTGGCTTCACACCCTCTCTGGGCACTCCCTTTGGGGGTAAAAGTTTTTCTAGCCTCTGAATAATCTTTAACAATTCTTCACATGCCTGCAACATATCCCCACATTTACAATATAGCTATGGCCCATGCTTCTGTGTGGCTGGCCTCTTTTTCATTACAGATTTTATAATCCATTGTATAACCCATGTGACTATCCCTAACCCCATTAAGCCTATAGGTTTTGATTGGCTTCTCTCCTGGATTTGGGACTCAGAGCCCAGCTGACCCACCACAGAGGCAGCGGGAACAGCACTGCTTTCCGAGACCCACATTCCCAAGGCTGTGGTTTGTTTATCCAGGCTGAACTATGCCAGTTTTGTCACCAGAGTTCTGTCTGGGTCTCTTGTGCTATCAGGCAAACCATATAACATATCTTTATGTGCATTTATTATTATTGTGGGGGAGTAGAGGGGAGTAACTTACAAAGGTTAACTTACTCAGTGCCTAGCCCTGCACTGCTCAGCTCCTACAGTGTGGCTCAGAGCCTGCCATATCAGACCACTCCCGTGCCACACCCCCAGTCATCACTAACATTTGCTCACGCCTCAGGGGCCAGTGATTTTGTCCCAGGTCCACAAGCGTCAGGCCATTCTGTCCTTGAGTAAGCCCAGCTGCTGGACTCATAGCTCCTGTCCCAAGATGGCTTCCAGCAGCCCCTCAGTAGTCTGTCCCCCGTGGCAGGCCCCACTCCTTGGAGGAACCAGCCACCTGTGTTATCACACATAGAAGGTAGCATACAGCTGCACTTCAACAAGGAAGCACACCATCTCATGCTATATTGGGAAAAGCAGTTACATTGGAATTACCCCCACAGAAGCTCCAATCTCAGGTGGACCAGCCTCAGCTGCATGTCTTATCAACCATCACAGAGTCCATGTACCTGTTCCTTCCAAATTCATGCTTGGTACTGGTGGTCCCTGTTGGTACAAATAGTATTATGTGACTTTTCTTGGAGAGGTGCGTACTAATATCTATTCACCCCAGATAGAACACTAGCAACAGACCAAATAAACAATTTCACCCATCTAGTTTGATGAACCAATGACTTTACTGGGATTACTTTACAGAGATATTGGTGAGAAGCTGTTTATAGGCGCATGGGTGCATAGCACAATAACACGAGTCACAGCTTATGAAAGCTGCACCCCTGCACAACTAACCGTTACAGTAACAGTCTTCTCACCCCAGCAACCATTCACTACTTCTGTAACCCTGGAGAAGGTCCCTGTGAATAGTGTAACATTCCAGAGCTTCCTGAGCCTAGTAAATTTCATTAACTTCCTAAAGCCTCCCTCTTCCCCTCAGGAGGGAAGGTTTCAATTTGGAGAAAGTAGCCACACAGTAAGAATATATCAAACTATTTTTTTAACCATGAAGCTTAATTCTCCAGAGGGGGAAAAATCACCAGAATAAAAAAATGTTTATTTGGACAAAAATAATTCATGGTATAGTAAAAAAAAATGACTTTGTCCATATAGCGAACAATAATTTCTCTTGAATTTCTTTAAAGAGGGTGACTAACAACTACACTGTATGAGTCCTTATAAACTAAGATAAAATCTACTCTGAAAGATTATATCCGTGATTAAAATCATGTGAAAACTGAATCAAATGACCTAATAAAGTTGTGGTCAATGATTTCAGGGATATAATGAGCAATTTCAAGTCAAAGTAATAAAATAATATAAAGAGAGTGAATTTTACAAGTACATGGATTTTTGTCATTTATTCTTAAGCACTTAAAGGAATTAATGGATATTTTAAAGAAATGTGTAGCAAGATGAAAAAAAGAAGGTTTTATGTTTCTGGCCAGTGTATACTTAAGACGACAAAGTTAGTGAATGGATCCAGAAACAGTAGTGAAATTTAAATATTTCAGTTTTCTCTCTTGTGTGAATATAAAGGTATTTATCAGGACACTTAATTTCTTTAAACTCCTTAAAAGAGAACACTATACTCAAGTGTGCAAAATCAAATGGTTATTTAGATTTGTGAAATAATACACAGGACTTAGATGAGATAGTATGACTTTCTGTAACTGCTAATTTTTTACTTTAAATTTTTTATTTTTTGAGACTTTCATACACAAGATCTGTAGTTACACTGTTTCCACCTCTCCCTCTTGAATCCCTCCAATTCTTGCTCTGTTCTCCCACCCCAACTCCCTTCTAAATTCATGACCTCTTTTTATATAACTGCCTATTTAGTGTTGCTGATGTGTTCATGTGTCTCCCAACTGGCTAGTTCCTCCAAGGGGCAGGGCCTGCTGTGGAGCATGGACTACCAAGGGTTTGCTGGGAGCCATCTGGGGATGGAAGCCTCCAGCCACTGGTAGCATGTGGCATGGGGAACGTGCAGTCGCACAGCAGCTCAAGGACAGAATGGCCTGACACTTATGGACCTGGGGTGAGATCGCTGGCCCCTGAGGAGTGAGCAAATGCTAGCAGTGACTATGGGCATGGCACGGTCTGATATGGCGGGCTCTGAGCCTCTGCTCAGGGCTAGGCACTGGGTACTCATTCCTTTGCAAGTAAATAAATGCACATAAAGATATGTTATATGGTTTGCTTGATAGCACAAGAGACCAAAAGGGAACTTGAGTGACAACATGTATTTAAGGATGACTACTTGGGATTGGATAACCTATCAGCCCTGGAGAAAACTGAGCCTCTATTTCTTAGTAGCCATTGATTGCCTGTAACTCTTCATCTAAGGGTAGAGTCTTGTGAAATTTTCCGCATCCATGTCAGCATGTCAACTGGTGTCATTGTGTGGGTCTTGATTAGGCAACCTATTGTTGAGGTTTCCTGGGTGCAGCTTCCCTGTCATGTCTAGAAGATACTATCTAACAGTCCTTTGGCTCTTATACTTTTTCTGGTCTTCTGTGATATTCTTTGAGCCTTGGAGGTAGGGGGTACATGGTAGCTGTACTAATTCAAGCTGGGCACACTAAGGTCACTTATTCTTGTGTTTTGACCAGTTGTGGATCTCTGTAATAGCCTCTCTTTGCAGCATAAAGAAACTTCTTTGATTAATGTTGAGAACTGTAATTGCCTATGATTATAAGGTATTTAGAATACAGTTGAGACTTTGAATCTAGCATCGTCCTGATATCCAAGTCAGACAAGACATTGCAAGAAGTTAGAATTGTGGTTCATTATTTATGATGTGGATAGATTTAAAAACACTCAACAAAATGTTAAGAAACCATAGTCAACAGTGCATTAAAATGATCATTTACCAAAATCAAGCAATTTTTATATCCCTGGGATGCAGCCACCTCCTGCCATCATGCCTCCCCTCCACGACAGACTATAATTCCCCTGAAACACTAAGCTCAAATAAATTCTTCCTCTGATAAGTTGCTTTCGTCAGAGCAGCAATAAGCATGGATGAACAGATATCTTTGTAATAAGATATAGGGTTTTTTGGAGCATATGCCTCAAAGAGATATGGCTGGATCATGTGGTAGATCTAGTTCTAGCTTTTTAGAGGAATCTCCACACTGATTTCCATAGTGGCTGCACCAATTTCCACTCCTACTAGCAGTGAATAATAATTCCCCTTTCCATACATTCTTAACAGCAAAGTAAAGACTTTTCCCCACTCTATAGGTTGCTTCTTCACTTGAATGATTGTCCTTTGCTGAACAGAAACTTTTTAATTTCATGAAGTTCCATTTGTCTATTGTTGAACAGGAATGGAGAGAGTGGACAGCCTTGTCTCATTCCTGATTGTGGAGGAAATACTTTTGAGTTTTTCTCTGTTTAACATGTTGCTGACTGTGGACTTACTGCATATTGCCTTTATTATGTTGAGATATGTCTCCAGCATCCCTAAATTCTCCATGACTTTATTGTAAAGGTATGTTGGGTTTTGTCAAAGACCTTTTCTTCATCTAATGAGATGATCATTTGGTTTCTGTCCTTGAGTCTGTTTATGGGGTGAGTTGTATTTTTTGATTTACTTATGTTGAACCATCATTCCTGCATCTCTGAGTTGAAACCAACATGTGGACAATCTTTTTGATGTTCTTGTGCACTCAGTTTCCAAGTATTTTATTGAGAATTTTGCACCTATGTTCATCAGAGAGGTTGGCCTATATATTTTCATTTTTTGTTATATCTTTGGTTTTAATATCAGGGTAATACTAGTTCCATAAAGAAGTTGGAAGTATTCCTTCATTTTCTATTTTGCAGAATAATTTGAGGAGTATTCATATTAGTTCTTCTTTGATGGTCTGATAGAATTCTGGATTGTATTCACCTGGTTCTGGTTTTTTTTTTAATAGTGCAAAGATTTTTAGATTACTACTTGTATTGAATTGGTTGTTATGGGTTTATTGAAATTGATTACTTCATTATGGTTTAATTTTGGTAGGTCATATGTATCTAGATATTCCAGTTTAGTGGTATATAGGTTTTTAAGGTACTTTCTTATGATTCTCTGAATTTCCTCAGTGTCTGCTGCAATGTTTCCCTTTCATCTCTGACTTTATTAATTTGGGTCCTCTCTTTGGTTAATTTGGTTAGAGGTTTGTTGATCTTGTTAATCTTTTTAAAGAACTAACTTCATTTCATTGATTTCTTTGTATTTGTTTTTTCATTTCTATGTTATTAATTACATTCATGATTTTGATTATCTATTCTCATCTACTCTTTTAGGGTGTTGCTTCTTGTTTTATAAGCTTTTCAGGTGCATCATTAAGTTATTACTATGAGACATATTTAATTTTCTGTTGTAGGCACTTTGTGCTCTGCACTTTCCTCTTATGATATTGTGTCACATAGATTTTGATATTTTGTGTTTTCATTAAAAATATTTTATTATTTTTACTTTTTGTGTATGAGTAAGTGCACTCACATTCTGCAATGCCAGTGGAGGTCAGAAGAGGGTATTATATTCCCCTGGAATCGGAGTTACAGACAGTTGTTAGCTGTCATGTAGGTGCTGGGAATTGAATCTGAGTCCTCTGCAAGAGAAGCCAGTACTCTTAACCATGAAGCTGTCTTTCCAGCCCCTTGTGCTTTCATTTTTTTATCCAATTCTAGGAAAAAATTTCTCTCTTGATTTCTCCCTTGACCCGATTTTCATTCTAGTGTGTTGTTTAGTTTCCATGTGTTTGTGTATTTTTTTCCATTTCTATTTTTGTTGATATGCAGCTTTATTCCTTTGTGGTTATATGGGATACAGAATGGTATTTCAGTTTTTTAAAATTTGTTGAGAATTGCTTTGTGTCCCAATATGTGAATGATTTTGGAGAAATTCCATGGACTTCTGAAAAGAAAGTCTATTTCTTGTTTGAGTGGAATGTTCTATTTGGTTCATTTACCACCAGGGTTTCACAGTTTAATTTTTTTCTGGATGACCTGTCTGTTGGTGTGTCTATCTATCAGTGTGTTGTAGAAAATCTATGATTTAAGAACTAAGAATTTTTCTTTTATGAAATTGGTTGTCCCTGTGTTTGATGCACATATGTTTAGGTCTGTAATATCTTCTTGGTGGATTTTCCCTTTAATACATATGACTACTTTAAGTTTGAAAAGTGTTTTTTCAGATGTTTGAGTATTAGCTCCATTTGCTTGGAGTACTCTTTTTCACTTTTACCCTAAGGTGGTGTCTATCATTGATGGTGAGATGTATTTCTTTGAACAACTGGATCTTGTTTTCTAATCCAATCATTTAGTCTATTTATTTTTTAAATTAGGGCATCAAGACCAATAATATTGAGCAGTATTATTGACCCAGAGCTCATTAATACCTATCATATTTTTGTGGTAGTGTTGCTTTCTATGGACTCAATTAATTGTTCTGAAATTGTTTATTTATTTCTTATGCTCTCTTGGGTGTGTTTAATCTTACCCTCAGCTGGAAGTACTTGTTATCTTCTATAGAGCTGACTTAGTGAACATAAACG